CTTTGCCTTTACCTTTTTTACCTGGGGGTGTGCTTTGGACTAATGCATACTTTCAGGATATATTAATGTTTGCAATAAAGGGCAAGGGAAAACTGAGCATGTGCAAAGAGGTGGTACATGAGAGAGACAAGAAGAGAGCTTGGAGCCTGTTGTAAGTCCCTGGCAGGTGACCTTAAGGGTTTCTAGATGCGCACATCACATCTCCTTTTCAGTCCCATAAGACAGAACACACTGTGTTCATGGAGCAAAGTCATGTCCAAGGCTTGAATTCATTAATGTGGGAAAGCAAAGAGGTCTGTTTTCTGTTTGTGCTTGGCCTTCTCATACTGCTTGGCCCACTTGCATAAGAAATCTGGTGTTGTCCTTTTTCTGTACCTGCTTGCTGCTTGTGGTAAACTCCCAGGTCTCGGTGTTCTATGGACTGATTTATGAGGAGCAGCTGCTATGCAGAGGAAACTATTATGGAATTAATTAACATAGTAAATAAATCTGGCACCTTCTACCTCTATGAATCTATGAGGGGGGGAAGTATATCTCACATGCTCAAGTGATGTCCTCTACTGATGATAATTCACAATTACATTTCAAAGAGTTCTACATACACTTGTTTTTTTAAACAAGCAGCTGAAATTATTTGTGGCCAAGAGTTGGCCAGATGCAACAAAGAACTGAGCATGTGCAAAGAGGTGGTACATGAGAGAGACAAGAAGAGAGCTTGGAGCCTGTTGTAAGTCCCTGGCAGGTGACCTTAAGGGTTTCTAGATGCGCACATCACATCTCCTTTTCAGTTCCACTATAAGTGTTTAAGACAGAACACACTGTGTTCATGGAGCTAAGTCACGTCCAAGGCTTGAATTCATTAATGTGGGAAAGCAAAGAGGTCTGTTTTCTGTTTGCGCTTGGCCTTCTCATACCGCTTGGCCCACTTGCATAAGAAATCTGGTGTTGTCCTTTTTCTATACCTGCTTGCTGCTTGTGGTAAACTCCCAGGTCTCGGTGTTCTATGGACTGGTTTATGAGGAGCAGCTACTATGCAGAGGAAACTATTATGGAATTAATTAACATAGTAAATAAATCTGGCACCTTCTACCTCTATGAATCTATGAGGGGGGGAGCATATCTCACACGCTCAAGTGATGTCCTCTACTGATGATAATTCACAATTACATTTCAAAGAGTTCTACATACACTTGTTTTTTTAAACAAGCAGCTGAAATTATTTGTGGCCAAGAGTTGGCCAGATGTAACAAAGAACAGGGATCCTGTCCTATTAGAAGCCATGTGCAAAAAATTAGTTTACGACAGCTGGATCTCCTGGGGGAAATCTCAGGACCTTATCTTTACAGCAGCATAGATCCTGCTGTATGAACTTTCACAGACAAGCTTCTTACTTGCAACAATGAAATCCAGCGTCCTTTTTCCTGAGCATTATGGCACTTTGCATTTTGAATATTATTGATGCTGAGTAATGTATTTTGTATAATTTGTTGCACTTCGTATAATTTGTATGTTCAGTAATGCTTATAAGGATAGTACAACTTAGGATTTATTAAGGACCACACAGATAATGATAAATGATAGTAATTGAATTTATATATCATATTTTTGCATAAATAATTTTTAAAAATTAAGTAGTTTATTCTTAGTTAAATTTCATGGTAGTTATATTGGTTTTGGGTGTTGCATATCCATTATACTCCCTCTTTGGAGTTCTCTTCTATGCATCAATGAAAAGTACTGGTGTTCGGTTGCCTTTTGCATCAGGTTACATGAAGTGCAACCTCTTGTTGCTTCACATTATTACTTTCAGGTAAAACTCAGGGTAGGATAACACCTACATCACAGTTCCCTGAAGCTGTGCACCATGTTTTTAAAATAGCAAACTTGCCTGATTATGCCCATAGCCTTATATGCTCTCAACAAGGGTACAGCTGCTATACTTGACCACACACTACACCCTCGCCCACACTGTAATAATCTTAAATGCCACCAAAGCATCACCATCTTCTCTGGGTTGTCAGCTTTTACCCTGGACTTAAGTCAAGAATTAACTGAAAATAAGAACAGCAGAAATGGAAATTAGGGGGTCTAGCAATTCCCTATAAAGCATGTTATTATCATGCAACAAAAAATTGTGTTTAGCAGATTGGTTTAAAATACAATTAGATCCTGTAATATTGATTGAGAAAGCATGTGTTTCCATTCCTTTAAGAGACCTGATTTTTTTCTGAAGAAAACTGAAGGAGAAGTTTTATTTACATAAGTCTTTGACAATTAACACTATTCTGTTAACCTGGGATAAATGGCAATGGAAATTAGCTCCTTGATCCTTTTCCTTAGCTTTAGCAGTACTTGAATTAGGTTTAAACATTAATTGATCAAGGCAGCAATGTAAGTCTTGGATGGATGTGAATATGGATCACTTTTTAAAAGAATAATGTAGTTGTGTCATATGATACAACAAGACACGTTTTACCATTCCACTATTTCAATAGTTAAAGGTGTGCGGTTTTATAACCCAAAAATAACGCAACTGAAAACTGAGGGATGAGGCAAATAAGTTCAAATCTACTTTATTACAAAGTCAAATCTCAGCAGAAGACAGGATGGCCTGGCAGGAGCTGGTCCATGGGGTCGCGAAGAGTCAGACTCGACTGTGCGACTGAACAACAACCAGGAGGTCCACCAGTGGGGCCAGGACATTAGAAGCCCTCCCACTGTTGGCCCCCCCAAGCACCAAGAAGACAGAGCATCACTTGCCCCAGAGCCCCTATCTATACCTTGTGGCTAATAGCTACTGATGGACCTCTGCTCCATATGCCTATCTAATTCCCTTTTGAAGCCGTCCATGCTTGTAGCCGCCACCACCTCCTGTGGCAGTGAATTCCATGTGTGAATCACTCTTTGAGTGAAGAAGTACTTCCTTTTATCTGTTCTAACCCTACCGCTCAGCAATTTCATGGAGTGCCCACGAGTTCTTGTATTGTGAGAAAGGGAGAAAAATACCTCTTTCTTTACCTGTTCTTTCCCATGCATAATCTTGTAAACCTCAATCACCCCTCAATCACCCCTCAGTCACCCCTCAGTCATCTTTTCTCCAAGCTAAAGAGCCCTAAGCGCTTTAACCTTTCCTCATAGGGAAAGTGTTCCAACCCTTTTATCATTCTAGGAAACAGGAGACTGCATCAGAAGCCCCAGTAATATCACAAGGATTTTGGGGGAGGGGAGGCAATGTCCTATTATGGACACTGTGTGACCAGAACTGCACACAGTATTCAAATATCACAAGGATTTTGGGGGAGGGGGGGCAATGTCCTATTATGGACACTTTCAGGGCTTGAAAGAATCACCAGTCATACTGCATTCCTTCCTCAAGCAGTGAGATGGGGTGTATGTTACAATGTGTGTGTATGTGTCTGTGCACATATATGTATGCTCTTATAGGCGTGCATAATTGTGATTGCAAGTGAGGCCCATAGTTTTCCTTTGGGGATCTTCAGATTTGGCACTGGTAAGAAGGAAAGGAGCAGGACTAGGACAGGAGAGGGTCTCCCTTGTTTGGCTCCACAGATGATCCATAGCCCAGC